CACAAGCCCAGAGTGTGGCAAAAGAGCACCAGCAGTGAGCCTTAGACATAGGTGCTGCAGCAGCAGCAGCTTCAGGAGCTCTCAGCCCAGAGTTAATAAGGGGGACAGACAACTGGTCAGAAAGTGATTACAGGGAACCCTTTGCTGGCACTGAATGCGGCTGGCACTGATTGGTAACTCTAGTGCTCACAGGCACTTCTGGGTCATAATTCAAGAGCAGAGAGGAATGCTTGTGATTGGAAGAGAGCAGAGGTTCTGGTCACATTTCCAGGGCTGAGAGGAGCACTAAAACCTATGGCTGCAGAATAGTAGAGGCCTTTTCTGGGTAAAAACCAGAGCACAGACCAGGAAAGCAGTGACTACACCTCTTTCAGGATAACACCATCTTGAAAGCACTGAAAACTTGTAGATCCCCAGAACTAGCTCTGAAAACAGCAGTATGAAAAAGCCTGACACTTAACATGATACTTTCCCACCTCCAGGTGAATAGACCCCATTTTTAACATAAAGTTCAAAGTCAAGAAATCAGTTGGGGAAATGAGCAAATAACAAAAAAAGAATCTGACCATAAAAAGCTACTATTGTTGCAGGGAATACCAAGAAATAAACTCAGAAGAAAACAACAATGTGAAAAGAGCTACAAGCAGAGCCTCAAAGAAAAAATGCTAAGTGGAACCAAGCCCAACAAAAATTCCTAGATGGGTTAAAGAAAGAAGAGTAGCAGAGAAAAACTTGGGAAAAGAAATGAGAGTGATACAAGAAAATTATGAAAAGAGAATTAGCAGCCTGGTAAAAGAGGCACAAAGGAGGCACATTTCTGAAGGAAATAACACCTTGAAAAACAGAATAGGCCAAATGGAAAAGAAGGTACAAAAGCTCAGTGAAGAGAAAATAGTTCCTTAAAAATTTGAATTGGGTAAGTGGAAACTAATGACTCTATAAGACATCAGGTAACAGTAAAATGATGTCAAAGGAATAAAAAAATAGAAGAAAGTGTGCCCTGGAAAATAAATCAAGGAGAGATAATTTAAGAATTATTGGAATAACAGAAAGCCATGATCAAAAAAAGTCTAGACATCACATTTCAAGAAATCATAAAGGAAAACTGCCCTGATATTTTAGATCTAGAGGATAAAACAGAAATTGAAAGAATCCATTGATCACCCCCTGAAAGAGGTCTCAAAATGAAAACTCTCAAGAATATTATAGCCAAATTCCAGATCTCCCAGGTCAAGGAGAAAATTTTGCTAACAGCCAGAGAAAAACAATTCAAATATTGTGGAGCCACAGTCAAGATCAAAATTTAGCAACTTCCATGTTAAAGGAGCAGAGGGCTTATAATGTGACATTCCAGAGGGCAAAAAAGTTAAGATTACAACCGAGAATAACCCACCCAGCAAAACTGAGCATAATCTTTTGGGGGAGGGGGAGAAATGGAAATGTAATGAAATAGAGGACTTCCAAATGTTCCAGAACTGAATAGAAAATTTGACTTCCAAAAAAGACTCAAGAGAAACATAAAAAGTTAAACATGAAAGGAATAATCATAAGTAACAGAGTTAAACTGGTTGCATTCCTACATGGGAAGATGATACATGTAACTCCTAAGAACTTTATTATTATTAGGGCAGTTAGAAGGAGTCTGAATAGACAGGGGGCACAGGTATGAGCTGATTGTGTTGGGATGATCTCCACAAAAACAATGTAGGGCTAAGAAAGAGGGATGCACTAGGAGAAGGGAGAAAGGAGAGGTAGAGTTGGGCAAATTTTCTTGAAAGAGGCATGCAAAGAAGAGCTTTTATAATGGAGGGGAAAATGGGGTGGTTAGTGGGCTATGCTTGAACCTCATTCTCTTAGGAATTGGTTCAAAGAGGAAAGAATACATACACACACATTCAGTTGGGTGTAGAAATCTATCTTGCCCATTAGGGAGTTAGGAGGGGAAATGGATAAGAGATATGGAAGGAGGGAATGATAAAAGGAAGTGCCTATTTGGGGAGGCTGTGGTTGGAAACAAAACAGACTTTTGTGAAGGGACAGGATAAAAAGGAGAATAAAGAGGAAAAATGATTGGTGGAAGAAAATACACAGTGATCGTAACTGTGAATGTGAATGGGATGAGCTAACCCATAAAACAGAAGCTGATAGCAGAATGGATTGGAAACCGGGATTCAACAATATATTGTATACAACAGACACACTTGGGACAGAAAAACACAGGAGTTGAAATGAAGGGCTGGAGCAGAGTCTTTTATGCTTCTGCTTAAGTGTCAGGGGTGGCAAGCATGATCTCAGACAAGGCAAAAATAGACCTAATTGAAAGAGATAATCAGGAAAACTGTATATTACTACAAGGTACCACAGGCCTTATTTCTCTAATATATAGGGAATAGGGGAAAATAAGTTGACTAATGCACTGTTGGTAAAGTTGTGGATTGGTCCAAACATTCTGGAGAACAATTTGGAACTATGCACCTTGACCCAGCAATACCACTACTAGGTCTGTACCCCAAAGAGATAAAAAAGGAAAAGGATCAATATGTAAAAAATAACTATTCTTTTTGTGGTAGCAAAGGATTGGAAATTGGGGGAATGGTCATCAATTGAGGAATGACTGAACAAGTTGTGGCCTATGATTGTGATAGAGTACTCCTGTGCTATAAGAAATTATGAAGGAGGTGGTTTCAGAAAAAAAAAAAACCATGGCAAGACCTATATGAACTGTTGCAGAGTGAAATGGGAACCAGATTATTGTGCACAGTAACATCAGTGTTATAATGATGATCAACTGTGAAAGACTTGACTAATCTGATCAATACAGTGATCCAAGACAATTCCAAAGGACTCATGATTAAAAAAAAATGCTATCTACTTTCAGAGAGAGAATTCTGAGTACAAATTAGAGTATAATTTGATTTGATTTGATATGGCTAATATGGAAATATGATTTGCATAATTTCACATGTATAATTAATATACTATTTACCTTCTTTGTGGATGAGGGATGGATGGAAGGGAAAGAATCTGGAACTCAAGAAAAGGTTAATATTAAAAAAAAAGAAATAGAATGGATTTAAAAAATAAAGGAATAGAGAAGGGCTCCCAGACTCATTAAATAATCACTGGATGCCAGTCTCCAACATCCCTCTATATCTATTAGGTGTTGCAGTAGTTAGAGAGTCTAGAAGATATCTAGGAGATAGAAGACTCTATTAGAACTGAGTTCAAATCTTGCCTCAGATACCTACTGGCTGTATGGCCCTGGGCAAGTCATTAAGCTTTTGTCTGCCTCAGTTTTCTCATCTGTAAGAGGTAATATTACATACAAATTCCAGGGTTGTTGTTAGGATTAAATGAGATAACATTGAGACATCTGGGTGGCACCATAGATAAACATTTCTTAGCTGAGTGACCCTAGGCTTATCACTTAACTTCTGTCTGCCTCAGTTTCCTCAACTGTAAAATGGGGATAACAGCAGCATCTACCTCCCAGATTTGTTGAAAGAATCAAATGAGATAATATTTGTAAAGCACTTAGCATGGTGCCTGGCACATAAGCAGGTGCTTTTAAAATGCTTGTTCCATCTGTCCTTGAATTTATCAAGGAACTTTGTGTAATTTTTCACATGTATTTGAGAGATATTTTGTTGGAGGAAAACCATTAAAACTTCATTTTGCTTTACCAAATCAAATACTTTCTTACAGTCAACAAACAATAACCAGAGCAATATCTTATATTCTCTGCCCTTTTCAGTCAACTGCGGGACTATGGAAATATACTTTGTTGTAGGATAACATTTGTAAAAACCTGGGACAAAAAGAAGAAAGGACATTAGACTCACATTTAAGTCCTGGCTTCACATACTTTCTACTTGTGTAAATCTGGACAGACTAGCTTTTCTCATTCTATTTCCTCATTTGTAAAATAAGGCAATGGTACAGGCTTGTGAAGAAAATATATCAACCTTAAAGCACTTTTCAAATGGGAATTGTTAGTAGTAATGGCTTGTTTTATCAGTGCATTTAATTGACAATAATAGGTGACCCAAATGGTAATGAAAGAGAAAGTATGGTGGGTATAAGCTATAAGTATTTCAAATTATCTGGGTTCAAGAAATGGAATAAGGGCTACCTGAGCAAAGGATAAACAGAAAAGGTGGGTAGGTCAAATAGCAAAAAAGAAAGAACAGAGACCCAGAGGATGTCCAGCAAACTGGGTTCTACTGAAGAACAAAGACAACAGCAGTAGTGAATAAGGAGGTGTGAATGATTTGTCATCTGTACCAATGTTGGAAGTACCAAAATTGAGACTGAAGATCTGTTGAATAACTGTCAATAAGCACATGGCATCAAAGTGCTTGGAAACAAATGGAGAAGTCCAACCTAATGAGCTTCATGACTCTTGGAGTCTTGTAGAAGATTCTCGGAGGAAATGCAGGTTGGTGGTGAAAAAACACTGGAGTTGGCAATCAGAAGACCTGGATTGTATAAGACTTGGACAAAATTGCTTATGCTTCCTGTACCCCATTTTGAAAAATAATGAGGGGTTTTTATTGATATCTTTCATTTTTACATCATCTATAATTCCCCATGTATCCCTGCCCCTCCCAGGGAACCATCTCTTATAACAAAAAGAGAAGAAAAAAAACAGGTCAACAATACATTGAAAGTTGACTTCTGTGATGTTCCAAACCTGTAGTCTCCCACCTCCTTTAAAAAAAAAAGATAGTAGAGGAGAAGACATGGCTTCTCATGTCTTTTGGGAGTCCAGTCTTGGAGATTAAAATTTCACAACATTCACCTTTGTTTTCCATGTACATCACTGTAGTCATTACATTGTGTATGTTATTTTCCTGGTTCTACTTATTCAGTTTGCATCAGTTCATACACATCTTTCCATGCCTCTCTGTATTCACTATTCATTATTTTGTGCAGTAGAGTCACATTTTGTTTCATTCATGTATTACTACTTGTTTAAGCCATTTCAGTCAATGAGTATCTTTGTTTTCTGGCTTTTATTTTAAAAAGGAGCAAGTTGGACTACAGGCTGTCCAAGTTTCCTTCTGTATTGATGACCCAATGAATGTATTTTTCTATATTCCCACACTCTGCATCACCCTCAATTTTCTTAGACCCTATCTAATTGGAATCAGAGTATCATTGATTAAGAAATACTGATGTGAAAGTGAAGTTATTTGGTTAAGATCTCAAAAGAGTAGTTTTCTGTTAAGGATCTAGGTTCCAGTAAATAGTGTATTTGTGTTTTTATTCCATCACACAATTTTACATATAATCTTATAATTTTTATTTTAAGATTGAAAAGAAATATAGGAAAAATATTCTCATAAAATTCTTGAATATATAATATAATTGTCCTGATAAGACATTTCCTTGTTAAGTCTTTTTTCCATTATAAAACCCTTTGCTCAGAAAATGAAATGTGTTTTGTTCTTTTCCTTGCTAGACAAAAAATTATATTAAAGGAGTAACTAGCAGCATCTGGCTGCTTTATTCCCCCATCTAGCTGTTTTTCCTCCTACTTTTCGTATTCCTATCTCCTCTGGACTGTTAAGTGTCTGATCGTCATTAGTTTGGGGACAATTATACCACCTGGGGTACCGGGGGCAGACACCGATCAATACCCAGAATGGCACTTTCTCCCTGATCTTTCTTTCGTTGGCTCAAAGGTGTTTAGTGCCCCATATCTGAAATGTAGAAGGAAGTAAGTGTGAACACAACCTTCATTCCCATCCCTTACTCCCTTTCTGTGCTGCTAACCAAGAAGATATCAACTCAATTATTTTTGTATATGGGTCTTTACTGCTGCTTTGCTGCACTGTGAGAGGGGCACCAACCACCACTTGAATTAGCCCTTCATCAGAAAATGCTGACAATGTAGAAAAGATGAGAATAATAAAAATACAGGCTACTATGAATTTTGCACACTGACCTCCTTTGAATTTAAGTGTAATAAACTTCAGCCACTTTAATCAAGATGAATCTTAACCGATGATTATAGCATAGTCTATATTTTAAAAAGTATGTGGGCAATAGTTAAAAAAAACCTATGGTCTCAGTGAAACATAATTTAGGTTTTTTTTTTAATGGGTTGGTTGACACTGCACATTTCATTATTCCAGGTGCTCAGAAAGGTATGTAACTGAACCAGCATTGCTATCTGGAATGAGGTTTATATCTTCACCTTCAATTAAATGATCCCATTGATTAAAATTTCTCTGAAGATCTAGAAAGAAAAATACAAATGTGCACAATTTTTTTGATTAGGAAGTTGAAGGCATTAATTAGTAACTAGCAATTTTAAACAGAAATGCTCTGAAAAACTTAAGGGAAGAACTGTTTCAAAAAGCCTCACAAAGAAAATGGGGTTAGGAAATTATGTCTGTGGATAGCTGCAGCTCTGCAGGGAGATGTTTAAGGAACTCAGCTTTCAGTAGACCCAACATACAATCAACCCCAATATAAACTTTAGCCTCAAGAGATAAATGTATATGCTACAAGATAAAGCATATACTACTAATGCTGCTATACTGTGAGCATATGTTGATCTGTTTGTCTGTCTGTGTCTCTCCAGACCTGTGATTTCATCTGCATAGGAAACTCTTTGATGTGGCTGCTTCTGGGGTGTGTGTGTGTGTGTGTGTGTGTGTGTGTGTGTGTGTGTGTGTGTGTGTGTGTGTTCACACATTGTATACTATAATACCATTTTATGGCATAATACAATTTAATATCTGTATGTGCTACAGGCCACTTATATATCAGTGGCAGATATGTACAGTAAACTGAATCATGGCACATAAAATTTTATGGTGTCACTGAAATAATTTTGTTTTCATTTCTACCTTGATTTACTAGTACTTTCAGTTTAGATGAGAGTTGTATTTTGAAATTATAAACTAAATATCAGGATTTCTCAAAGAGAACTGAAACTTGAAAATAGGTCACCCCAGCTTGGTGTTAAGTATTGGCTATTTTATGAAAAGACCTATAATAGTTTCTTACCTAAATGCTTTTGCAAGAAAGCTAATGATGCTTTGTTGCTTAAATCAATGGCTACATCCGAATCAATATCTCCTTTTAATGAGAATACATGTCCAAGTACTTTACCAGTCACAAAAGTAAAGTCGGGAAAGTTCTGATGGACTGATCCCCTGGAAGGAAAAAAGAAATAGAAATGATAACACGGCAGATTAAAGTATGTATGTAATTAATGGTGCCACATGTAAAGGTAATATAAAGGATGCTACATAACTCTGGATCCAAGTAGGACCCAGGTTATGGATCTGATCTCAACTATGGTATTTCACAATCATAGCTGTCTCATAAATAAGCACCTTTGATTGAGTGAGTATGATAGTACCTGCCTGTAATCTGCTGGAGATGGCAGATGTCTTGAGCCCATGAGTTGTGAGCTGTTCTGGGCTTAAACTTATCAAATGTGCACCCAGAAATTAATGGCTGAACTCTACACATCTAGCTAGGGCGAGATAGGAAAATTCAATCTTGATAGGTTGGGGGATGGGGTGGGGGGAAAGAACAAGCATTTATTAAACACCTATAATATTCCAGGCACTGAGCTAAGTGCTTTACAAGTACTTCATATGATCTTCACAACAACCTTGGGAGATAGGTGCTATTATTATCCTCATTTTAGACTTGAGGAAACCGAGGCAGACAGAGGTTAAGTGACTTACCCAGGAACACACAGCTAGAAAGTTACAGCTAGGATTTACCTCAGGTCTACCTGACTTCAGGCCCAGCACTCTATCCATTGTGCCACCTAGCTGCTGATACGGGGACCACACAGCCAGCCAGACACAGACATGATAGATAGACAGATAGATAGATAGATAGATAGATAGATAGATAGATAGATAGATAGATAGATAGATAATAGATGCCTTTGGTCACAAAGGATGAGAAAATTAGAGTGGCTGAATGTAAATCTTATCTTCCTTATGGGAAAACTCAAAATGCCCTGCTCTATAGATGTTTGTTGCAAGAAAAGAACTGGAATACCCAAACTTGGACTGTAAATCTATTCAGTGGAATCTTGACAAGCTACATGTAATGACCAAAGAGTGTGGGCAGCACAGTATGATAGAGACTGGAATTTAGGAGGTATAGTTTCTAGCCCTAGCCTGGAAAGAAGCAAAATAATTAATTTTCCCTAGAAAATAACATTCTGTTCTTTTGGTATAAAGTTGCTTCTCATGAGTCCAAGTGAGGGTTTGGGGTAAAAGGTTTTGCTTTCCCTTCCTAAATTATATGGTAAGGTGATGATCGAAATGAATTTTGGAGAAACTTAAAAGATAAACAGAAAGATGCTGAAGAAAGAGAGGTCATTTCTAATGACCTACAACTTGCTCATCTTTTGAGAGGATATGAGAATAATTAAGTACCTTTTAGTTCTCCAAAATTAATTTCAAAGATCACCTTACCATGTAAATCAGGAGGGAAAAAACTCCTACCCCAAACCCTCACTTGGACCCAGAGAAGGCAACTTAATGCTAAAAGAGAAGTATATTAATTAAAGAACTGTATTTAAACTACAGGATATCTTCATCCTGTAGTTGTCTATCTGATTCTCTAAATGTACTACTCTTGGGTCTGATAGTTTCAAAAAGAATTCTGTCTCCACAGTTAACATTGCTTTGTTACCCTAATGCAGGCTTGTGCCTGAAGGCAGTCACCTTACCTGCTCAGTTAAGTGTTAGGTTGCCTTTATTTACTAGCAACACTGAGAATCACAGAATCCAAGTTAGAGGCCTCTATTCCACCCCATTCCTGAATAGGAATCTTCTTACTTTGAAAATTGACTAAGCTGTCACATGGATATTTGCTTGTACTTTTGCCAGATGTTATTGTGTGGTCTTGGCATTTCACCAAGAATCCTGGCTCATCTCAGCCATTTATTTCCCTGTTGATTTCAACTCTGCCTCTCAGTATGCTAATAGAGTCATCAAGAGATGAAGACTAAAGCTAAATTGGCCCTTAAAGTTCTTCAATACTTCTCTAATCAGGATACATCCTACCATCCTTCCTCTAATCCAACTGTTCAACTTAAAGAGGTCTCTATTTCTGTGGATTACAATAGAGACATTTCTTTAACAGCAATCTTTAAAATGAGGTACAGCTGAAATGGTAGTACTGGTACACTAGGAAACAGGGATTAGTGAGAGTACATTCCACTTGCAAAAAGAAGATGATGAATTCTCTCTGATATCTCTACTTCTGTCTGGATAGTCAGCATGGTATTGTGGGAAAGCATTGAACTTGGAATCAGGAGACCTGGACTCTGGTTCTAATTTGGCCAATAACTAGCTATGTGACCTTGGACAGATCAGGTAATCTTTCTTGGATTCAGTCTCCTTATCTGCAAAATGGAGGTAGTGGGGGAAGAGGAGGGAAGAATACTCTATGATTTCTAAGCACCCTCTCATTTCTGAAAATCTACTATTTTGTGCATTTTTTCTTCTTTTCTTCTTTGGTCCATGATTTAATTGGTACGTGGAGCTGAGGAAAATTCCTAATGCTGAACAGCATTTGCTCTGAGCAGTCTTAAGAGAATTTCCTGGTGACACATGGTTACTAAAACATGATACTAGATTATCAAGAAACTATGCTTAAACCAGGTTTTCTTAATTCCAAGGCTGGTTCTCAACCCAATATACCATGTGACCGCCCATCCTATGATTCTGATACATTAAATAAGTTTTATTTTTGCGGGCTTGCTTAACATTTTAATACCCATTTATAATTATTTCATTGGGAAAATAGGTTCCTTAAATATCACATCCATAGGTGATATTATGTATTTGATAAAACCTAAATAACTGCTTAATATAACCTGATAGCTAATATCTAGACAGCTAGGTGACAGCTAGGTGGCAGCAAAGTAGTGCAGTGGGTTGAATGCTGGGCCTGGAGTCAGGAAGACCTTAGTTCAAACCAAACCTCAGACACTTACTAGCTGTGTGACCTTGGGCAAGTCACTTAACCCTGTTTGCCTCAACTTCTTTATTTGTAAAATGAGCTGGAGAAGGAAACAGCAAACCACTCCAGTATCTTTGCCAAGAAAATCCCAAAAATGGGTCATGAAGAATCAGACATGACTGAAAAAAAAATGACAAAACAATTATCTTGATACCTAACTAATCTGGGTGTCACATAGAACAGCAAAAATAATATGTATCCTAATGCAAAATGTAATTGCAGATATTGCATGATTTTTATCCCACTTCTAAGTCTATCTAGACATTGATTTCCCCCCCAATGTTTTTTCTCATAATCAACAAAAGATGAAGTCTTAACAACTGCTTCAACATTAGAATTCTGCTCTGGTCACCCATGCATCTCAAAAGTTTTGTTGCTTCCCCCCTCCCCCCCAAGCTTAAAGTTTCCATTATAGGAAATCAAATAGAACTGTTTTGTAACACTTACTTGATTGTGATCATTTTTCTTTCTCTATCAGGTAAGTAGAATTTTTTCATTTTCATGACATTTTCTGGAGTCTGGAATCTTTCAGAGTTGATAAAGAAGAGTGGCTGGGGAACTCTACTATACAACTCATCACTTAAAGGGACCATCCATGCATCCAGGGCAATACCACATCTAGGAACATTTCATTGACAATAAAAAAAGGAAAAAGGATCTTAGACCTTAATTGACATGAGAGTCAGTTCAGAATTCCATTATAGTCCTAGTGTTAGGAGGCAAGGATAATAGTAGTCATCTAAATGACTTTGGTGTTACATTTAGCAAGATGCATTATTATTTACTGTGTAAATGGCAGGTAGGAGCTTACCTCCCTCCTCAGGATAACTCAAATAATGCCATGACTTAATATGTTTTATAATGAAGTTTTGCTGGAATTCACAGAATTATGAATCATTAACATTCATAGAATTCATAATTATTCATAATTAACATTCATAAAATGTTAAAGAGCTAGAAAGGACCTTAGACATCCTCTCATCCTCCTTATTTTATAAAGGACATTGAGACACATAGAGCATTTTAGTGATTTGTCCAAGGATCCAGAATTAATTAGTGGCATAGCAAGAACCCAAGTATCTTGATACTTACTTCACAATCATCTTCAGGTGCAATTTTAGAAAGGGTCTTTTCAGTGTAAAATAGGGAATATTCATTAAGAAACCATGACAGAATTGAAAAGAAATAGTTGGTAGAGACTTTACTGTATAAAAGCTATCCAGAATGAGAATTCATGGATGTTGATATGACATTCAAGGAATGAGAAATAGTTTTATATGTAATTCAGTCCACATACATTAAGTGTGCACTTGATTCCATAGGGGACTCATCCCTCTACTGGAATGGAATGGTGCAACAGAAAAGAGCATGGAGTTAAGATTGGATGTATGATCCTGGCTTTGACTAGTTGAGAACTGAGTCTCAGTTTCCTCATTTGCAAAACAGGGCTAATACAGAAGGAGGTCAGGGAGAAAAGCTGTGATATATTGTGGGGAAAAGAGGGGCAAAAGTCATAGACCCTCTTGGAATTCTACAGTTAAGCTCAGTAGTGCTATCTGCACTGAACACCCCTTTAGAATTTTCTGGCCACCATAGCAGTTGCTAGAGGAGGGAGGGGCAGCTGGACTGAAATTAAAATTTTTTTTTTTTACCTGGCTGTTTCTCAATCCCTTCCCTATTAAGGAAGTGGAGCAGTGAGAAGATTTACCTCAGCTAAGGAGGTGATGTAAAAGGGCTGAGTAGACTTCTGAAGATTAAAAGCAGGTAACAGAAAAGTCTAAGAAAAGGTAAAAAAGCAGACCTGATCTCAGCATATGATCCTGTCCTTCTTGGTGCAGTCAGGCTGAATAGAAGGGACTTTTGTTAGCCAATGGCTCAGAGGAACCTAGTTCAGAAACTCATTGAAGCAAGCTTCACAGTTATTGAGAATGTTGATTGAGGATAATTGTTGCCTTCCATGTAAGGATGAGGCTTGCCAATCATAGCACCTCCAAAAGACTGAAAGACTGAATTTAGTTGCAGATAGCTCTAACGTGTTTTCCTAGGGACTAGAGCTGAAGCACACAAGGAGGCAGAGAAAAGGCAGATTGAGAAGGATAGCCTCTCTCATCCAGGGGAAAGGCTTATCAGCCAGAGCATCCCGCTGCCCACAAGTGGATGTTGGAGTTGTCTTAAAAAAAAAGGTGCTGAAAGAGGTGTAACCACAGAATCCCTACTTGTGTTGTACAAGGTATTAGGTGACCAAAATTAGAGTTGATGGCCAGCTGAATAAAGAATGAGGATAGACTATAAAGCTTAATGAGCTCCCCTGCATGTCATAATTAAATCAAAATTAAATCACACCATTAAAATTTATAGTCTTCTTGCTTTATTTTACTTACTGGAATCTCTTGTCTTCACCAAGAGACTGAATAACTGTGGCTCCACCAAAGGAATGTCCCATTACTGCTATTTTCTTACCATCAATAGCATCCTGTGTAGAAAGCATGATAAAACTCACAGCTTTTATAAGATATCATTTGAAGTACAGAAGAAACTATGAAATGGTTTCATTAGTCATATTCATGCATTCATTCAATAAGCATTTTTTCAATCAATTTGATTTCTTATAAGATAAAAAATACATTGAAGACTTGTGAGAATGCCTGATTTGCTTTTACTTACCTCAACATATTTAGTGATCTTATCAGTTCCCATGAGTTCAATTATCATCTCCAAATGTATATAATCAGCCCTAATCTCTCTCCTACATTCCAATCTTACATCTAACTTTGAAACTCAACACAAGAATTCATTCTATTACACACTGACACCACCTATTCCTTTTATACCCCTCAAAACACACACACACACACACACACAAACACACACACACACACACACATCCTTTTCCTTTATATTTCCTTATTTTTGTGGAAGGCATCAACATTTATATCTAGTTGCCCAGAGTTTTGAACCTAGGCACTTGATGGAAGGTGGTACTTACAACAGACATGAGGAAAACTTTATTCTCGCTCACCACCATATCTAATCAGTTTGCAAGGTTAATCCATTCTGTATCCACATCTCTCACTTCCAAGCCTTGTTAGTCACTCATAGTCACCACATTATTTCAAACTCCCTACTCTAATTCTCTTACCTTGCCAATCTAATCATTTAGGTGGCTTAGTGGATACAGTCATAGGCCTGAAGTCAGGAAGACTCATCTTCCTGAGTTCAAATCTGGTTTCAGACACTTATTAGCTGTGTGACCCTGGACAAGTCACTTAACCCTATTTACCTCAGTTTCCTCATCTGTAAAATGAGCTGGAGACTGAAATGGCAAACCACTCCAGTATCTTTGCCAAGAAAACCCCAAATGGGATCACAAAGAGTTAAACACAACTGAAAAATAAATGAACAACAACTCACCAATCTATCCTCCACTCAGATGCCAAAATCATCTTCATAAAGCACAGGTATGACCATGTAACCCTCCCACCTCTATTCAAGAATCTTCAGTAATTTTTAATTACTTCTAGGCTCAAAAAGAAACTCCTCACTTTGGAATTTAAAACCCTTCACAATCTTGCTCCAACCTACTTTTCTCAATGTATTTCACATTACGCCCCTTAATGCATCCTCCTATTTTACTTGTTGTTCCTTGAACACGGACCATATCTCCCCCTTCCATAACTCCATGTCCCCTACGCCTAGAGTACTCACCCTTCTCACCTCCACCTCTCAGTGCCCTTGGTTTTTCTTCAAGGCTCAGCTCAGATGCTAACTTCTAGAAGACACCTTTCTTCATCCTGCTATTTGTTAGAGTTTCCTCAAATTATCTTGTCCTTGCTTCTCTGTGTAAATGTTCAGTGCAAGCTCTATGAGAGTAGGGACTGATTTTTTTGTTCCCATCTTTGCATTCCCAGGGCCTTGGCTCAGGGTTCAGACATGACCCTTTGCATATAAATATGGCAACCAAATTCAAGGATAACTCCAAGGTTACATCCTTGAATTTTCCCTTCTACCCCAAGTCCTTCCCCATTTAATTAGTTGCCAAAATCTTAGATTTCTACTTTTATAACATCTATTACCTTCTCTCCATTTGCATGTCTACATGCAAAGGTTCACATTTGAACCCTGGTTCAGGATGTCATCCAACTTTCACCTTGACTTTTCTCAATTAGCCTCCCCATTTTGAAGTCCCACTTTCTACTCTGTCCTTCACACAGGTGCCAAAATCATCTTCCTAAGACACAGGTCTGATCATGTCACTTCAGAAATCTTCAGTTATTCACTACTGACTATAATTCGGAAAAAAATCCCACAAAATCTTCAGCCTGGAATTCAAGGCCCATCGATCGTAATCTCACTTTCAGCTTTCACACTGATTCTCCTTCACACAGTTTACAGCCAAACTGAATTGCTAGCTTTCCCAGAATTCCATTTCTTACCTTTGCATTTTCACAAGCCTCCTTCATGCCTGTAATGCACTGACTCCTGATTCAGTCCAACAAGTGTTTATTAATCATCTAGTGTATACCTAGTGTGTAAGCACTGTTTAAATATCTATTATGAGAGGCAGTGTGGAATACTGGATGGAAAGCCTGCCTCTAAAACATCTGTTATTGTTGTTTAGTTATTTCAATCATGTCCAACTCTTACGACCCCATTTGGCATTTTCTTGGCAGAGACACTGGAGTGGTTTGCCATTTCCTTCCAGCTCATTTTACAGATGAGAAAACTGAGGCAAACAGGGTTAAGTGACTTGCCCAGGGTCACACTGCTAGGAAGTGTCTGAGGCCAGATTTGAACTCAGGAAGAGGAGTTTTCCTGCTTCCAGGCCCAGTGCTCTGTCCATTGCACCACCTAGCTGTCTCCTCAAAAACATGAAGACCCAGATTCAGGTCCTACCTACGGTGCTGGATAGGTGACACTGACTCTGGGCTAGTTACTCAACCTCTTAGTGCTTGTGGTAATTCTCTAGGATTATAAATTGCAGAGAAGGTCCTGACCTGCATTAGTAGAGGAAATTTTCTATGCTGTGAACTCCTTGAAAGCAGGGGTTATTGTTTGTCTTTCTTTGTTCTCCCAGCACTTGGCACAGTACCTGACATACATAAGGTGCTTAATAAATGCTTGTTGACTTACTGACTCACTCATAGACCAGTGAAATCACAGGTCCAGTCTCTAACCTCTATCCAGGGAATATGATGATACTACACGTATATGACACTAGTCTCTTTGATGTTCCATAAACAAGACACTCTATCTCTCAGATGAGGGCATTTTCTCTGGCTGTTCCCCATGCCTGCGATGTTCTGCCTCCCTCATTTCTGCCAAGTGGCTTCCCTGGCTTCTTTCAAGTCCCAGATAAAATTCTATCCTCTACAGGAAGCCTTTCCCAACCCCTCTAAATTCCCTCTTTTAATTATTTCCTACTTATCTTCTATATAGCTCATCTGTACATATTTGCCTGTTACCTCCCTCATTAGCTTGTGAGCTCCTTGAGGACAGGACCTCACAATCTTAATATCTTTTGCCTCTTTTTGCCTCCCTAGTGCTTAGCATAGTGCCTGGAACATAATAGGCACATGATAAGTGTTTATAGACTGATAGAATTTAAAAAAAAAAAAAGGAAAGTTGGCTTTCTTGACTCACCTTTAGTTGCTGCAAGTCAAACGGAGAATGCAAAACATTCTTCACTGTTTTCCCATCATTAATATCAAGCATCAAATTAAGAGCTTTAGAGCATTCCTCTGCTCTTTGAAGTACCTGGGTATGGTTATAAGGAGTAAACAGCCCCATTTTACATAAACAGAACAATATAAAAATGCTTTGCTTGAGCCGGAAAAAAAAAGATGGAGCCACCAAAATGATCTTTTCTAGATAACATATGGTGGTTCGTTTAACAGTAGAGAAAAAGCTAGCTTTTTGGAGCTTGTCCAATTATTGTCTAACAATTAAACTTCTAAAATTAGAGTGCCTCATACACAACCTATATAAAATTGCATCTTAGGAAGTAGGGAGGGGGAAAAGGGAGGCAGAAAAATTTGGAACTCAAATATAAAAAAAATTATCTTATAACAATTATCTTTACATGTGATTAGAAAAAAAAATATTATTAAAAATAAAATAAAATAACATTACAGTGCCTGGTGCAACAAATGAGAGGCAATGTGGCTTATTGGGGAGAGAACCAGCCTCAGAGTCAAGAAAACTTGAGTTCGAGTCTCTGATGCATATTGGCTGTGTAATCAAAGACAAGTCATTTCAACCTCTTAGTGTCCCAGGCAATTCTCTAAGACTAAGTAAGGTACAGATTCATTGCTAATCTGCATCAGGGGAGACAGTTTCCACACATGGATGACATCACAGGTCTGGACTCCAAGCAGAAAATTCCCAACAAGTATGGTACCATCTGTCAGGATGTTGGTTGATTTTGTTTATATTATGAAATGGAAGTTTTATAAGGAGCAGTCCTGAGAATTTGGTTGTGGAGAACAGGAAATAGGACCATAGATTGAATGTGGGATATTAAATTAAATTGCACACCTATGTGCATGATTACATTGTCCTTATTCAGCTTCTCCCTGGAACATACCTGTTTATGGCGTTGGGGGTACTCCATATCCTGTGAATGGAGATGCCTGTAGGGAATCCAGGACTTATTATCTCTTTCTACAGCAAATTCATTTTCGAAGTAAAAAGTTGCTGATGCTGATTCATCTCTATGATATGGAAAAAGCATCATACCATTTGCTTATTCTTCCCTTCCCCTCATATCAACTTTTCTTACTTCCATCCCAACATTCCTGCTCTTTTTTATTCTAGAGTGCTGATTTTAAATTTTTTTTAAAAAAAAAGGTCCCTCGAAGAGGTTCCCATAACGAAAGAAGAGAAGATAAGAAAGTTTTGAAAAAAAAAAATTTGTACATATTTCATCTGTTGTGTAACAGAGTTAAAGTCGTCGTGATTACATTATTTTCCAAACAAACACAAAAAATGCAAGCTATAACCTATCAGTGATCAAGTCTGCCATTTCTTAACAAGCAAGTGCTGGCAAAGCGAGTGTGTCTAGCATTGTCAGGAAGTCCAGAATGCCTCAGCAGGAATATGTGCATGTAATGACTTATTTACAATACAATACAAAAGGTTACATGATGCAATATTGCATCATCAAAATTTTAATGCAGGAAAAATGCATAAATTTACAATAAATTATTAAATTTAAGCTGCATCATTTAAAAATAGAACATATTTTCTTTGAAATGATGCAAATTAAAAAAAAATATTAAAGGGTTAAAGAAAGTAGATTTCCAGGGGGAGCACTGAGTAATTTTTTTTTTTCTTGAAAAGGGGGCAGTAGGTCAAGTAAGTTTGGCAGCCTCTGCTCTAAAAGAACCGAAGCGTATCAGCCTGAGGGCTAGTACTTCTATGCAAACGTATTGTTAGGCAAAACCATGATGGAGGGGAGGGACAGCAGCCTCATGGGTGTGGAAGCATGGATCAGGCAAAGTGAGAGCCACCTATGGTAGGTGCTGTGTAGAATAGAGTACTATGCTGAACTAAGCTCATCTCCCCTGTAATGTGCCTAGGGGGACATGAAGTTGGGGCCTGGTTATGTTTTAGTGACGTTACTAGGAAACAGCCTTGTGTGTGGCAGTATTACGTAGAATACATATCTTTACATTAGCGAAAACCTTCTATGCCCTCTCAGACTAATGGTTTGGGGTGAAGCAGCAATAACATTGGTTTCACAGTCAGAGGACATGGGGTCCAAATTCTAGCTCTGATAATTGCTTTCTGAGTGACCTTAGGTTTAATCACTTTGGCCTCAGTTTCCTCATCCATAAAACGTGAAGGGTTGGATTAGATATAAGATCTCTTCCAGGGCTAAATCTATGATTTTGTCTTCTTCAAGTACAATCTAATTATAGTTTATATCTATCTAATAAGTAGATGGGGCAGCTAGGTGGCACAGTGAATAGAGCACTAGGCCTGGAGTCAGGAAGACTCATCTTCATGAGTTCAAATCTGGCCTCGGACACTTACTAGCTGTGTGACCCTGGGCAAGTCACTTAACCCTGTTTTCTTCATTTTCCTCATCTGCAAAATAGAAAAGGAAATGGGAAACCACTCCAGTAACATTGCTAAGAAAACCCCAAACAGGGTCATGAGGAGTCAGACACAACTGAAAAACAATAACAACAATAGGTAAATACATTTATATAATGCTCTAAGATTTGCAAAGCATTTTACAAATATTCTCTTCTCAACTCTAAATCAATGATCTTGTGATCTTCCAGCATAATCTAATCATTCTTTTTATCTAACTAACAAGTAGCTAGCATTTCTATAGCACTTTAGGTTTGCAAAGCTCTTTACAACAATTATTTCATTTGATCCTCTCAACAAACCTGAATGGGTAGGTGCTGTGCTATTATCATCCCCATTTTACAGAGGACGTAACTGAGACAAACAGAGGTTAAATTATTTTCCCAGGGTCACAAAGCTATGAAGTGTCTAAGGCAGAATTTGAACTCAAGTATTCCTGACTCCAACTCCAGCACTTTGTGCTGCATCCACTATACACACATTTTAAACCAGAGTTGAAAATTCCTCTCTAAGGTTCACGGAAAGTCAGTGGTATGGTTATAACCACCAAACATTTTTTTTTAAATATTTCTGGTTACATGAACTTTTAAAAAGTTTTACATAAAGAAAAATCAATGCAACTAATAAGAAAAATGTACATCGAAAATGTCTTTTTGAGTTGGCTAAAAAAGAAATCTCATACCACAAATGACATTCACATACATACCTGTGTTCTACAGCAGCAATTATAAACCCATGAGATGCCAGATCAATCCCAATAGCAGAATAAATTGTCCTTAAAAACAGAAAGTTGACAAAGAACCAATTATACTTGGCATAAGGATAAGAACTCCTCGAAATACTGTGGCACATAACCCATAATTTTGTAGATACACGCTGAGATCTCGTTTCATTAAATGTTTAACTTGGGGTCAGGAAGTTAGGTGGTCATCCTGTGACAAGAAATAACACCACCACGTTACCTTTTAATGCTTACATGTATATATAATATACATACATACACACACAGATATGTATGTGTTTGTATATGTATATGTTATGTATTTGTTTGTTCTTTTTTACTCATCAATGGATGACACCATTTGCAACTCTTTCCAATGGAGGCCACTACTCTTAACTGCTTGACAAAATTCACAGGCAGAGGAAGGGTCGATATATTCCTTGCTGTTATTTACTGCCTCTTTCAGACCACTGCCCTGCCCAGGTCGCTTTTTGGAAGTCCATGTCTTCAGCTTATACTCTTCCCTAACCTAGTCTCAGTCTACTGGTAGCCATGATACTCAAGTACCTTCCATAACAACATCATCATCTGGCTCACTCCCCTTCTCTGTCCCTAACCATCACCCTTGGCATCATTCCTAACCCTTATTACATCCTGGCCTAAAAGTTCCTACACCGCCTCAGCTCTCACAATCTTTCATTTCCACCCCACTTTAGCTACTCACCGCCAAGGCCACATCTTCAACCTTGTCATCACTGGAAAGTGTTCTACATTGAGGTCTTGAACTCTGAAACTCCCCCTCCTTGACCAAAACCTCTCATTCATCTATATAATATCCCCTCATCCTACTTAATCTGCTCATGGCCTTCTTCATTAACACCTCCAACCTTCTGGTCTCTTTTTTATTCTCCCATTGAATCAATGACCTTTGGGTTCTCTTCTAGCCCAACTCAGCCTGGTGCCCAATGTCAGCCATTTCAGCAGTGTGCTCACTGGTGTGTTGGAGAGGCAGCGTGGTGTAGTGGATAGGGAGCCAGCCAAGAAGTCTTGGTTCAAGTACCACCTCTGATACATACTGGCTGTGTGACCCTGAGTAAATCATTTAATCTCTCAGTGTTCTAGGTGACTCTTCAAGACTGTAAGTCACAGAGAAGGTGCTGACCTTCATTAGTAGAGGGTCTCTTTTTTCATCTAGTAAAACCCTATTCATTTGCCAGTGCCTTAGCTCATTCTGCTTCCTGAAGTTTCCATGTTACCCAACCTGATTAATTCCTAACCCTGAGTTACCCATACTGTGTGATTTCTCTGCTATAAGGGCTTCTGATATTGCCAGCAAATGTAAAAACAAAATGGGACAACAGTCTCCACCAAAAATTTATGCTTCTAAACCTCAACTGGACCACCCTCTGCTACTAAACATTTTTAAAAATCATTCTATTTGCTCCCTACTTACATTTCCATAACAGTCACTCCAAATATTTCCATTCTCCTCAAGTTAGTAACCCAAGCTCTGACATTCACTAGCTTTATCACTTCTTTAAAATATTTATCAGATGGCTTTATTAAGAGGAAACATCCAACAGCATAGCATACACTGGAGCTAGTACTGGAGAAGGAAATGGCAAGCCATTCCATTATCTTTGCCAAGAAAACCCCATTGACAGTGTTGGTATGATATGGTCCACCGGGTCAAAAAGAGTTAGACACAACTGAACAACACAGAAGGCAATGCATAAGAATAATTATAGTTGAAGCTGAAGAGGCTGAATGTGGTGTAGTGAATAAGACCAGCCTTGGAGTCAGGAAGATCTGGATTCAAGTCCTACCCATGATGCATAGAGAATGTATATGTGTCACATGATTTTATACAAGTCACTTAGCCTTTTGGTAGCCAAACAACTTTTTCAATCTCAAGTTACAAAAGGGTAGCACACAGGAAGTGGTGGAGGAATTATCCATAAGAGGAATTCCCTACATCAATGTATGATTGCCCACCCCCCTCCCTAAAATATGTTTTTAAAAACTAACATATGGTGCTTTAAGTTTATAAAAAGCTTTACATCCATTATCTTATTTGAGGCTTACAGCATCATCAGTCCTCTAGAACCAAGATTTGTTGTTGCATTAAAAAAATTCTGATATCCATTCTCCAATACATTTTTTTTGATATGCCTAAAATCTTATGATCCTCAGAAAAGAGTGGAAGATTGAAAAGGGGAGGGGAAGATGAAAATAGGAGGGGGAAGTGATTCTGAGAGCATCAGCGGCTGACCTGGAGTGACAGGTAGGTTGCCTTCCATGCTATAAGGCCTTGCTGGGAATTTCTTCAGGGAGGGCCCTGAGTAAGATAGGAGAACTTACTTAGACCCCAACTCAAAAACCATTTGGAATAAAACACAAACTCAGCCTGGTATTTAAAGCCTTTCCCCTAATATTAAAAAAGGACTCCTACCTGCCTTTCCAGCCTTATTTTTTATTTTATTTTTTTTTTGGGGGGGAGGGGGAGGCAATGGGGTAAAATGACTTGCCCAGAGTCACACAGCTAGTATTATGTGTATGAGGCTGGATTTGAAGTCAGGTCCTCCTGACTCCAGGGCCAGTGCTCTATCTACTGTGGTACTAGCTGCCCCCAGTCTTATTTTATACTACTACTCTCCTTCACAAACCTTGCATTCTAGCTAAGCTGCACAACTGTTGTTCTTGAACTCAAGATTCCTCCTCCCACATTGCTAAGCACTTGTCAGGAAGTCTTCCTCAATGTATTGTCTTCTCAATTCTACTTTCTAGAGTCCTTGTTCTCCTTCATGATTCAGGTCAGGTACCACCTCTGTGAAGCCCTCCCTGATCATCTCACCACCAACACTCCCAACACAGACAGACACCTAGCTCTCTGTGCTTTTTTATGGATCCCCCTCTCCTCCTGACTCCTCAGACTTCTAATACCATGCCTTCTCATCCTAGAAAATCCTCTCCACTCTTGCTGCCCCCTCCTCCCACTGGTGAGTTCCTCCTGGAACTTTCAGAGGAAGTTCCCAGGCCAGCCATCTTTCACTCCTTCCCTGATTCCTTTTCTGAGTCTCAGCACTTTCCCACTATGCCCCTCTGTGGGTACCTTTCTCCCTTCCCCCCACTGCACCTTCAGCCTTTTTAGCTCTCCTTTACACATAATAATTCTCTAGGTGGTCCAACAGATAGACTGCTGGGAGAAGGAAATGGTAAACCACTGCCAAGAAGGGACTGTCTTTCTTTCTTTCTTTCTGTATTTGTATTCACAGCATACAACACAGCGCTTAAAACATGATAAGAACCTAATAAATACTTGTTGATTTCACTCCCTCCTCAAAATGCCCCATTTTACACTTATCTGTGTACATGCTACATCATACTTGTAGAATGTGATCTCCTTGAGTACAGGGACTATTACTTTTTGTCTTGTCACTTAACACGGGGACCTTGTGCATTACACATATTTAATAAATGTTTTACCGAATTCAATAGAGAAGACGTCATAATCACCTCAAAGAATTACTAATTGAATTGGGACAGCATTGAGCTTAAGACCTTGCTGCTCTTTTATGGAGGGGAAAGAAGCAAATGGTTGCTCCTAAAAAAGGGCAGATTATTTGCCCAAGCATTACCTGAATGCTCCAAGTCCGTGAGAAAAAATAATCAGTGGGTATTTTTCTCCAGTCCTCAAAGGGGCATTCCAATTTGCAGGAGTTGTCACTGAACCTAAAAACACAATAAAGTAAGACCCCACAAAGTGTATAAAGAGAGTTATTTTCAACTTTACTGTGCGAAAGTTATCACTGATTTAATTTGTATTTCTTTAGGACAAATTATGATCCATTGATACTTTTTCTTGTTTTACTATTATATCTATTAATAATTACAAACCTAGAAATAAGGGACTTTTCACAGACAGGCAGAAGAATTGAATCTCATGTTCTTTGCTGAGGTCACATTATTAATCGTTGATATTTTTTATGAGATACATTAGTAGGACAGATAGCTCACTAGATCGAAGGTGAGTTATCATATGGAAGACTGACCATTATTATGTAATGGAGAATGGGCCAATGGGGTCTGACTCTTGAAGCATGTGCAGTGGGCTATGCCTGCTGACAACACATATAATGAAGAGAATGATATCCTGACTCAAAGCATGAACAGTGCATTCTCTGTTTCCTATCACCTTATTTCATGGTGATGAAAAGTCTTTTAACTAGCTCCTGAGTTGGAACTGAGTGTATATACACGAGGAAAGAACAGAAGGAATCTGTCTTTCTCCCTTCAAAAGCCAATGGTGGTTAATGGTAATAATATTTTCCTTACCTCGTTACCACCTTGTAGCCTGGAATGCTAGTTGCGATTAATTTTCTGTCTCTCTTGCATTTATTATTTCCATAAGTGAATGAATCACAGAGACAGAATAGACCAGCTATGATTTTGTGAGCTTGGAAAGGTTGATTAGATGAGTTGTCAGAGATCTAGCAATAAAAATCTGTAGCAGAGTCTGCCAGTGACCACAGCCATCAAGCTAGGGAAAGAACCAGTCCTGAGGGGTGAACTTTGTAGCCAGCCCCGAATCAACATGGCAGTCAACACACTGGGGCCTGCAAACAAGGGATTAACTTGTCCATTGGCTATGCCGCACCCAGAAGTTAACTTGATGGGAGGAGGAATATCTATAGCAGCTACTTTAAGTCTGAGCCCACTCTCCCCAGGAATCAAGGGGGTACATTAGGAGAGTGTGTTTCTGATTTTGGACATTTGTCTTGGTATAGCAAAAAAAAAATCCCTTTGTAAAATCCTTGTAAAATCCCTTGTAAAATTTATGTTAATTGGTTATTAATAACACTGAAGAGTTATCAACTGTTCAGAATGTATATGGGGGCACTAATCACTGGCTAAATGATGTTAAGGAGTTATTAATTGGGTGAATGATATTAGATGGAAGACTGGATGGGTGCTGGAAACCAACAGTATAGAAGGACCTCGCAGAATTTGTTTGGCTGCACTATGCATATTTGTTATGAGCCTTCTATTTCATTTAAAGAAATATTCAATGAATGGGGCAGTGGGAACATGTAAATAATCATTTTTGGACATGGCCAATGTGGTTATGTGTTTTGCTTGACCAAGCATATTTGTTACACAGATTTTCTTTTTATTTTTCAATAAGGATTAAGAGTGGGAGAGAGAAAAGTAAAATTTTTAGTTGGAAAAACTAAGCAATCAATTAAAATGTTTTTAAACAAAAAAGAAAAAAAATTACAGAGTCCTTTATGAGTAGCCCTAGAACCCTAAAGGAAGGTAGGACTATAAGTAGCCTTCTTTGGGAACCAGATTTAACAGTGTAGATTGGGAGAGTTGCTCCAGAGCCTGTAAATGTTCTACAATTATTATTTCTTTCTTTTGTGTGTGTGTGTGTGAGGCAAAAGGGGTTAATTGACGTGCCCAGAGTCACACAGCTATTGAGTGTTATGTGTCTGAGGCCAGATTTGAACTCAGTTCCTCCTGAATCCAGGGCCAGTGCTCTATCCACTGGTGCCACCTAGATGCCCCCAACAGTTATTATTTTTAAGCCTTGGCTAAACCATGGAGAGAAAGTCATAAAATATAGATGTCCAACAGGTATATGTTTACCATACTTTAGTTTTCCTGGAGCACTTCACTCTGGTCCTTTCTTTACCCTTATCACAATCTACTTCTATTGTATTCATTTGAGCTTCTATATGTCTCATTATGTTCATGCTCTATCACTCTTTTAGACTCTTAAGTTTCTTGAAATAAAGGATTCTTCATCTTGGTAAGATACCATGTTTGACACCAGTGAGACACATAGTAGGTGCTCAATAAATATTAGTTGAACTGAATTGAATCTATATCTCAGTCTTATCAACTATAAAATGGAACTAATATTTGTCTGACATACTACCCAGGACTGTCATATAAAAATTAAATTATATCATAGTTGTAGAGCACATTATAGTTAAGGAATTGTGAAGGAGGAAGTGATGTAAAAGGATGTTATCAAAAACATCTATAAGTGAATTTTAAAATGGGCTAGTGAGAGCAAGGGATAAATGACAGATAACCTAGTACTCCACTGAATCTTGTGGTTACATATCCCAATGTCAACAGAAACTGAGGAAGGCTGCTAACATATTGATTGTATGCCCTGTGGTAAATTTGTGGGAGTGCACGGATTAGAATTATACTGAATATGAACAGATAGGCATGGAATGCTTGTCATTTGCATCATTGAAAGGAAAACCCACATCAATGAGACTGTAGAACTATATCAGTATTTTGAGTTATGATTATGGAAGTGATATTGCAAAGTATCAAAGGCTAAAAAATTGTGAGGTTTTAAAATTTGTATTGTTACCTTTTGAGCCATTATTTCTTTCTTTTGTCTCATAATCTCCAGAGGATTTGATCTTTCATCAGGTAATTCTGGATCATTCAGTCAGTCAATAAGCCTTTTAAGCACCTGCTATGTGCCAGGCACTTTATTGAGCTCCGTGTTCCTTGTGTTATAACACTTAGTGTGCTTTTGGTTTCTCTTTAAGATTTTACTTCATTCTTCCATTTTTATGATCATCCTTTCTATGTATTTATCTGCTTGTAAGCTAGGTTTTTATTTAGGCTTTCTCTCTCAAACTTTTGGCCTTTTGATCTCTCTCGTATGGATTCCTTGACAATCTCCTCTGATTGTCCCCCCTCTGGGTTCTTTCCACATTCTTTGGTCCCTCCACCTTCAACTGATACACAGAACCCCTGGTCATCTTCAGCCTCCTTTCTTTGGTAGATATGGAGCTTGGCTGCGGTCCCAGTAAACTCCAGAGGGAGTGGAATGGCCCCATCTGGGCTTAGAATCCATTTTCCCTCAGGCTTTATATTCTTTTCTTTTCTAATTTACAGCTCTGAGCATAGCTCTAGTCTTCTGTAGCCTCCTTCCTTCACTAATTTTCCTGTTCCTTTGCATGTCAGGGCAAAATCGGTGCCTGTTGCTTTTTTTTTTTTTTGTGGGGTTGGGGGTATGGAATCAGGATCAGTCAGTCATGGGAGATTCTTACAATTGACCTCTAAGTCACACATATGAGTTTTCTTGTACCCATTGCATCTGGACTCGGAGCGGATGGGAGAGGAGGAAATTTTAAGTATTAGAACACATCTCTGATATCCTTTCACGAGTTGTTTCTTTTTTTTAAACTTTTAGCCAGGGTTGTGTCTTCTTATCTCCTAGACTTGGTTGTAACTACTCTTTAACTATGTACGTCATTTACTTTTATGAAGTTTTGGGATTGTGATAATTTGGAGAAAGCAGTCACTCTGCTACACTGTCAGATAAGTTACATGTTTATTTCATCACTATTTTTAATTTCTAAAGAACTCCAGGACAAATTGAAATGGAATTTGGAAAGTATTTTTTAAAAGTGGGGGGGTTGGTAATCAGGAGTGTGAGATCTGAGAAGATGGTTAATATCAGCCCAACAAGTAATGTTTTGACTACATTAGAGGGAAACGTTTCTAAGGCATAGACAGCAGGCTTTGGAGTCAAGAAGGCCTGTGTTCAAATACTGCCTCTGATGCATTGAGGCTGTATGGTTTGGGCAAGTCATTTAATTCCTCAATGCCCCAGGTGACTCTCTAAGTTATACACCTAAAAAACTGCACAAAAGGTGTCAATCAGCATTGGTAAAACAACAAATTTCTTCACTGTGAGTTCCTTATACCAATGAAATCGTACTCCCTGTGGCTCCAACCCCAAAGGAGAAGGTAAAGTTGGGTAAGGGGAAAAAAAAAAAGATTGTCATAGTAGAATTGAATGGTATAAAGAGACTGGATAACAATAATAGCTTGACATTTACATAATAGTGCCTTACAAGCACTATGTCATTTGTTCCCCCTTTGAGCTTTGTGGTGAAAAAATAGCATAAGTTTCCTAAGTCTTAGAGCTGGGAGGAACCATAGAGAGCATCTAACTCAACATATTCATTTTACACAGATTTCGTAAACTGAGGCTGGGAGAGATTAAAGAGATTTTGCACCAGGTTACCCAGGCAATATTTTTTATCCCTATTACAAAAGTAAGAAAGCTGAGGCTCAAAGAGTTAGACACAAAATAACCAAGATCACACAGTCAGTAGGGATTCAAACCCAGTTCTTCTTACTTTTCTATTGCTCTCCTTACCCCATATATTATGCCAGCTGTCATGGTGGGACAAATGTAGCTTTCGTAGAGAAAGAAAGAAAAGCTAACTCTTTGGCAATCCTGGAATGACAGACCTGAGTTTAGGGAATGAGTTTTCTTAATTCCTTATGTTGAAGTACAGATGGCCTGCTACAGGGAAGACAGAATTGTCTCTCTTCCATTCTCTTCCCTTCACTTGACCTTAAAGTATATTGTGATGCCCCTAAAATAGCAACACCAACCAAAGCCATGAATTAAATCAACTTTGCTTCTTCCCTACATAGCACAGTGGATACAGTGGTAGTTTGGATTCAGAAAGACCTGTGTTCAAATTCTACTTCTGGTCCATTCTAATTTTGTAACCCTGTCTTGCGTGGGCCTCAGCTCCTTCTCTGTCAAATGAGGGTGTTAGACTCACTTAGCCCCTGAAGTCCTGGCCTTCTCTAGCCTCTTTAATCCTATGATCCTTTCATTTTACAAGCAGGTGGTTTGGGAACTAACGTAGAAACATAAGAGCAGGTACCAAGGAATGCAGAAATCAGTTAGGATAACAGGTCTAATTAACTAGGGCATCTTTTTAAACTCTTGAGTCAATGGGGGTAAGTGAAAGCCCAACTCTGATAACTCATTATGATCCATTTTTAAGAACTCATTTCATATCCAGAAATTTTTAGATAGTCTCAAATCTTGGAACCCTAGAAAAATGGAAAGAGCCCCTGAGGTCTTGTCTCTGCCACTTTCTACCCATGAGACTTTGAGCAAATCATGTTTCTGAGCCTCAGTTTCCTCTGCTGTAGAATGAAGGAGTAGGAAAAAGGTGGGGAATGCATTGTAAGAGCTTTCCCAACTATAAAGACACGATCCTATGAAATGCTTAGATCTGACATTTTCAAATCTGAAAATCTGTCTTGCTCTTTTATTGATAGAAACTCTTGTTGACCAGATGAGTAATAAGACAGGTGAGTCTGCCTGTTTTTCAGGATTCCCTATATTTGTTTGGGGGTGGGGTGGGAGGGGAGGAGGGGAGGACAGGAGAGAGGGGCATAAAAATGTAAAACAGAACCAGCAAATCTTACCAAAGATGTAGGCGATGAATTTGCCCATGAACTTGCGCAATCCAAGAAAATTACTAACACCTAGGAAATATTCTTTACTGGGGATCCATAAAGTGCTGTGATATTCATCATCTTGGGAAGGGTAGTATAGACGCAGTAAGCTACCCTGTCAGGGAAGGAAAGGAATGTGTTTTTAATTTTTAAAAAATGTAAACCATCTCAAGGCCAGTATTAGGGTAAAGGTTAAACTTACTGCAGTATGTTACTACTGGCACAGAAGATTATAATGCAGTTAAGAATGACAAAGTATGAGAAATGTAAACCAACTTGGAAAGACTACCAGGAAGTAATGCAAAGTGAAAAAGCAAACTGGAAGAATGGAGTACATATGTGAAGAAAAGTGGGAGAACAAAGGGACAAAATCGCTGCACTAGGGACTTAGAGAGAGTGGCTAAAATGGTGTCAGGATACTCTATAATAATAGCTAACATGTATATAACACTTCCTATGTGCTAGGCACTGTGCTAAGTGCTTTACAGTTATTATCTCATTTGATGCTCACAACAACCCTGGGAAGTAGGTGCTATTATTTTCCCTATTTTACAGATGAGGAAACTGAGGCAAACAAGAGATAAGTGACTTGCCCAGGGTCACACAACTAGTAGTGTCTGATGCAGGATCTGAACTCAGGTCTTCCCAACTTCAGGCCTTGCACTCTTCTGTCTACACTGTACCGCCTAGCTGCCTCTACTTTATTCATTGCATGTAACTACCGTAAGTGTAAATAAATAATTACTAAGCATGTTTAGCTGTTTGTATTAATGTTCAGTTTTAATTTTTTAACAAAACATGAAAAACTTATGTGTCTGAAGAAAACTTAGAATCATAACATTCAAGCTGGAAAGGGACCTTGAAGGCCATTTAGTTCAACCCCTTCATTTTACAGATAAGGAAACTGAGGCTCAGGGCAGTGAAAGCAGTTTTGCCAAGGGCACACAGGTAGTAATTAGCAGAGCCAGAATTTGAACTCAGGTTCTCTGACTATAGATTCAATGGTCTTTCCACTGTACTATAGCTGTCTTGGGGATCAACGAACTAGTAAAAAGGTCAGTCTGATAAGTTGCAAGGGAAAACATGAATCATTCTCCAATTCTAATGCCTTACCTTAGCAGTGAAGTCAAACATCAAGTCTGTGCATCCCACAGAGTAAGAACCTTTTCCTTTAGGGATCTGATGTTCGTCACCCAACGAAGTACTCATTAGGCTCTCTATTGTATGATACCACCCTGAAAAACACAGCAAGCTGATTTCACTTGTCACCTGTTATATACAGCAGTTTCTTAACAAGTAAGACATCTAACCATAGTTTCAAACTGTTTATGTTTCCCCCTCCCCTATCACTCCCCACCCTGGGGACAAAACTGTCCAATAAGTCAAAGAAGTCTTACCAGGTTCAGAGAGACATAGAATTTACATGAAGACACAGTTTCCCGACACTTTAGGGACATCACTTTTCTCACCTTTGACTACTCCCTTGCCTACCCCATTAATATTCCCACCGAGGCCAACCTTTTCACTGACTTCCTTTAATTTTCTCTTTCATTCCCACCAATGTGTATTCCTTCCTTTAAGGGCTCAGAGGCTTCACCCTACACAGATCCTAAAACTCCTCCTCCCTTGTTACACTTGCTTAAAAGCTGCCAAATCAGATCTAACCTCCTTTCAAATATATACATATATATGTTATATATGTTATATATGTATACATATACATACATGTATGTATGTATACACACACACACACACACACACACACACACACACACACGATCCTCTTACAACACAGGACCCTGCCTTATACAGATCAAGAGATCAAGAGATTGGTCAAAGTGAATCCCATTATTCTGCTTAACCTCCTATAGGGAACTAATTAGCTTATTAGTTTCTCACAGGATCTCGGGATCCTAGATCTATAGCTAAAAGGGAATTCAGAAGCCATTTAATCCTATCTGTAATCAATTCAACAACAAATTCAATTAAATTCCTTACGCGACTATCAAGAGTAAGGCATTGGACTCCCTGCTTTGTCAGTGCGTTGTGGCTGATTGTGGAGAACTATGTGTGATATGACGCAGATGTAATCATTGGTAGTTACTTCAGCTCTTTTCAGTGGAAAAATGTCCATCAACTTCCTCCCCAAGCTGACCAGTTTGTGACTCATCCTTCAGTGACTCATGCCTTTCAATCTATCTTCTATAAAGCCAGAAATCGTTTGGTCTGATCATTCAACAGCAGTGAGCCCAATGGGTGATGCCAACACCTAGGAATGTCCTCAAACTCAGTTGTCTCCAGCCACTTGAACTCTTGGTGGTGCCCTCAGGAGAGCTAGGTGAATTCAGCCGGGACGCATAGCTACCTCTGCAGGTGAATTTACAGAATATCCTCTGCCAGGATTTGTCCTTAGAACCTTTGGAAAATTTCACTTGCCCTTGCAAGAGAATTGTAATTTTACACTCTATTTAGAATCAAAATTGCTTCCTTCCAGAGAAAATTCAATAGGTGAATTGTCTTCATAACATCAAATTGCCTTCAGGGCCAGATGACTGTTAGGTGTCTGGCTGTCTACTGCTTCTCCCTGTAGCTTGGGGTCCAAAGGGGCCCAGTGGCTATGTCCATACAACTATCACCCCAAATTATGAATAGCCATGATGACACCATACTTTAGAAAATGTCCAGCTCACACATCCTGGTCCAGGGAAGCCTTAGGGAGCCCACAGCTGCCAAGGAGCTCTGTTTCTTCACTGGCCTCCTCTCACTTAGTTAGTAAACTACGAGGAATCCAAATCTCTCTGACAATGGCCTTGAGAAATCCCAATTCTAATCAGACCTTCAGATCCTAAGTCCTGAGTGATTTGGGAGAGGTCTTCAAGGGAGAAACCCTGGACCCGCCCTGTTAGTCCACAGGTCCCCAAGTCCTCCACTGCTAGGCTAATTTGGAAGAGGAGCTCCCTCCTTGGGTCTCTAGGCCCAGGGTGAAGAGGCATAAAGGCCAAAAGGGCACTGAGGCCAACCAGTACCCATGTGGCTGCAGGAGGGCCTCAGAAGCCTGTGACTGGATCTGCCCCACTAGGCTGGGACACAAGATGTCCCCTGACATAATAATACCCAACTGTTACAGTGCTGAAAATACTATTGAGAACAACTTTCAAATCACTTCAGTCTTTTACTTCATAAACAATTGGCCAGCAATCTTTCCCAAATTTTAGGACTTGCCAGATAGTTGTTAAACTTAATGTTTGTTTGATTACTTGTTGGTAATCATTTCTTGATTTGGTTGATTGGTTATTGTCCTTTGTTTTTGAAGAGGCCCAAAACGACATCACTATGTTAGAGTCAAGTTTCAGTGTGTCCGACTGTGGTTGATCAGACCAATACGAGCTAGGAATGCTCTAACACAAGTTGGGCACAAGCAGTCCAAGTAAACATTTGGAGTGGATTCTCTAAATTTGCATATCTTGTGTTCTTTTGAGCTGCTTCATTTCTGCTTTGCTCATGGAGTACAGCGCCTTCTCTGATGAGGGTATGCCATGTTGGATGGTCCTGTGCCAGTGTCTCCCATGTCACACCATCAATTCCAAAGTTCTTCAGAGAGACTTTGAGAGTGTCCTTGTATCGCTTCTTCTGACCTCCATGTGAGCGCTTGCCCTGTGTGAGTTCTCATAAAATACTCTTTTAGGCAAGCACACATTTTGCATTCGAACAATGTGGCCAGCCCATCATAGTTGTGCTCTCTGAAGCAGAATTTGAACACTTGTCAATTCTAGAAAGAACCTCAGTGTCTTGTACTTTATCCTGCCAGGTAAGCTTCAGAATCTTCCTAGGACAACTCAAACGGAAGCGATTCAGTTTCCTGGCAAGGTGCTGGTATACTGCCCAGGCTTCACAGACATATAACAATGAGGTCAGTACAACAGCTCTGTAAACCTTCAGCTTGATAGTCAGTCTAATACCTCTCCTCTCCCACGTTTTTCTTCAAAGCTTCCCAAACAGTGAGCTAGCTCTGACAAAGCATGTGTCAACCTCATTCTCAATGTGTACATTCCTAGAAAGTATACTGTCAAGGTAAATGAACTTATCCACACTATTCAAAACTTCTCCAGTTGCTGTAGCCAATGATTCTAGGTATGGATGGTGTGGTGCTAATTGGTGAAGCTCCTGTGTTTTCTTGGTGTTAATTGTTAGGCCAAAATTAGCATAAGCAGCAGAGGATCGATCTATACTTTGTTACATCTCAGCTTCAGAGACTGCATTAAGTGCATAAACATCTGGGAACAAAAAAATCATTGACGAACTTTCCCTCCACTTTAGTTTAAATAATTTACCATCGGTGTAGTAGCTGTCTTGATGCTGTATTCATACTTGTTGAAGGTGTCTGACAACATACCTTAAAACAGTATGCTAAAAAGCATGGGAGAGAGCACACAGCCTTGTTTTATTCCACTGACGACTGGGAAAGCATGAGAGCATCATCTATTAACCAGAACCCAGGCAAGCATGCCGTCATGAAACTGATGTACCATGCTGATGAACTTCTCTGGGCAACCAAATTCTGACATAATTTTCCATAAACCTTCACTACTGAGAGTATTAAAAGCCTGGGTTAGATCAATGAACATTGTGTAGAGACCTCTGTTCTGTTTCTGGCATTTCTTCTGGAGTTGTCAGGCAGCAAACACCATATCAACTGTTCCTTGGCCCTTTCTGAAGCTATGCTGGCTCTCAGGTAGATGACCATCCTCCAGATGAAGGATCAGCCTATTAAGGAGGGCTCTGGTGAGAATCTTGCCAGCAATGACTAAGAGAAAGAACCCCCTGTGATTGTCACAGGACAATCTATTTCCTTTACCTTTATAGAGATGAACAATGGAGGCATCCTTGAGCTCTTGGGGGACAATCTCCTCTTGCCATATAACCTAGAAAATTTCAGTTAGCTTTATATGAGCAATGGATCCCCCAACCTTATAAATCTCAGCTGGGATAGAATCAGCACCAGGTACTTTGCCATAAGAGATGAGCCTAATGGCATTCAAAAACTCTTCTTCAGTTGGAAATTTGGCTAGAGATGGATTGACTCCAACCTGAGGTATTGGTCAATGGCTTTAGCATTGATTGATGATGTTCTGTTGAGAACACAATGGAAGTGTTCAGCCTATCTCTCCAGGGTCATGTCCTTATTACTAATCAGTGTGGCTCCATTAGCACTGAGTAATTGAGATTCACATGTCTTTGGCTTATAAATAGCCTTCAAGGCATCATAATACTTTGGATTGTTATTATCAGCATAAAACTGAATTTCATCTGCCTTCTTACTGAGCCAAGAATCCTGTATCTCTCTAAGCTTTTTTTTGATACTTTTGATGGAGTTAAATGCTGGCTTCTTAGAGAATGATAACCTATCCTGCTGGTAAACCCTATGGAGTTATATAACAAAAAAGGCACATATAGGAACACATCAAGATCTGAAGCATTTCATGAAGAGAAACCAACCCAAAGAGGAGGGAGATTTTTAGTCCAGAAGATGAGAGCTTATAAAAGTCATTTTCTATTTTCTGCATTATTTAATGGACTTAGATAAAATAATAAGCAATATAATTAGCTGGTATTTTAGTATGATTATTTTCTTCTTGTTTTATTCTAGATTTATGATCTTATCTATCTAGACAATAACCCTAGACAACATCTATTTAGAAAATTAACTAACATAACCTTTCCCAAACTTCAGAGCTTGCATTTTATTTCTATTTTAAAAACTGTATGCTTTATTGATGCCTTCTGTTTTTACATTCATGGAGTTAGAGTTTTAGTGATGGAAAAGATATCAGATGCCAACTAGTTTAACCCTTTTTCCTCCTGTTTGTCTTCTCTTTCCTTTTACCCTTTCCCTCCTTGACAGCGTTCTGCTTCTGACTACCACCTCCCCAACCCTGCCCTCTCTTCTGTCAGGCTCCTCCCCTTATCCTTAATCTCCTCCCCTCCTACTTTCCTGTTGGGTGAGATAGTTTTCTATATTCAACTTCTGTGTTTATTATTCCCTCTTTGAGTCAATACTGATGAAAGTAAGGTTCAAGCGACACCCATTGTCCACTCTCCCATCTTTCTCTCCGTTGTAGTAGGTTTTTAACACCTCTTCACGTGAAATAATTTATCCCATTCTATGTCTTCCTTCCTTCTGCATCTATTGCACTCCTCTTTCTCATTGCTTGACTATTTTTTTGTCATTCCTTCAAATTCACCTTATGCCCATACCCTATATGTATTCCTTCTAGCTGTACTATTAGTGGTATAATTTTTAAGAATTACAAGTATTGTCTTCTCATGTAGGGATATAAACAGTTCAGCTCCATTGAATCCCTTATGCTTTATTTTCCCTTTTTCCCTTTTTAGGCTCCTTTTGGGTCTTGATATTGGAGATACATTGTGCTTCATTCTGGTCTTCTCCTTATGAACGCTTAAAATCCTTCTATTTCACTGAATGACCATTTTTTTCCTTGAAGTATTATGTTTGGTTTTGCCCATTAGGTGATTCTTGGTTGTAATCCTAGCTCCTTTGCCTTGCAAAATATCATGTTCCATGACCTCTGATCCTTTAATGGTGCAGCTCCTAAGTCATGTGTAATCCTAACTGTGACTCCTCAATTTTGAATTCTTTCTGGCCACTTGCAGTATTTTTTGCTTGACCTGATAGTTCTCTATTTTGCTTATAATATTCCTTGGAGTTTTTATTTTGGGATCTCTTTCCTGAGGTGATCATTGGATTCTTTCCATGCCTATTTTGCCCTGTAGTTCCAGGATATCAGGTCAATCTTCCTTGACAATTTCTTGAAAGATGATGTCCAGATCTTCCTTTTGATTATGGCTTTTGGATAGTCCAATGATTCTGACATTGTTTCTCCTGGATCTATTTTCCAGGTCACCTGTTTTTCCAATGAGGTATTTTACACTTTCTTTTATTTTTTTCATTCTTTTGAATTTGTTTGATTGATGTTTGATGTCTCATAGACATCTAACTTTTAAGGAGTTGTTTCCCTCAGCTTTTATATTTCCTTTTCCATTTGGCCAACTCTACTTTTTAAGTAGTTGTTTTCTTTTTCTAAGCTATTGACCCTTTTTCATAATTCTCTTGTATCACTCTCATTTTTTTCCCAAATTTTTCTTCTGTCTCTGTTATATGATTTTAAGCTCCTTTTTGAGCTCTTTCTGGGCTTAAGACCACTTCCCATTTTTATGTGGGGCTTTGTCTTACAGGTGTTTTGACAGTGTCGTTCTCTTATAAATTTGTGTCTTGATCTTTCCTGTTACCATAATAACTTTCTGTGGTCAGATTCTTCTTTTATTGTTTTTTGCTCATCTTTTTTAAAAATCCTTTCTCTTTTCTTTTAAATTTGAGCTCTGCTCCTGGGGTGGAAGGGGCACTGTCTCAGGCTTCTTGTGCCAGGCACTACAGGCCCTGACCATTTACCTGGTGCTGCACTGATATTGCCCTGAGGCCCACAGGGGACCCTGGTTTCTGTTGCTGTGCTGAGGGGATGGCTGGTGCTGCTGGAGGCTGTAAGGTTTGGGGAGCTTACCTGGTGCTGAGATGGGGTCCAAGTGCTAGTGTCTGGTGTGTGCTGAGGCTGGTGGAGTGTTCCTGCATTTCCCAGGGTTACACTGAAGCACTTAGCAGTCTGGCTGCTGGATTCTGCCTATTTGCCCAGGGCTATGCTGAAGCACATGGGGGGTTCTGGTGTTGATGTTTGCATGCTCCACCACACTGGGGCTCAGGATGTCTTACTGGTTTGCTGAGGTGGGACTTACTGGGATACTTCCTGTCCTAGACTGCACTCTCCTTTTACCTGAGTGAGACAGACCCTTCCTGACAATCTTTCAAGTTTCTTGGGCTAAAAGATTGTTTCACCCAGTCTTTTTACTGTTCTACTGTTCCAAGATTTGTTTTGGGATGCTATTTTATGGTTGTTTGGAGGTGAATATGGCAGAACTATGACTATTTACTGTTTAATCCACCATCTTGGTGCCTGGAAATCCCTCTTCTTTGGAATTTTTTTTTTTTATTGCTGCAGCCTCCCCTATGATATTTTGAACCTCTGTCCGTAGTTCTTCAGGCACTCAATCTACCAGATCTAATCCCTTAAATCTATCCATCACCTCCACTTCACATTCATAAGGGATATTATTTAGGTTATACCTATATGGTCTGATGGTTTTCCCTGCTTTCCTCAATTTCAATAATGTATCATACATATTTTTATTTCATAGTGGAGGCAGCAACAACAACAAAAAAATATAATGGAACCTACCTCACAGGCTTGTGAGTACCAAATGAGATAACAGATGTAAATCACTTTACAAGCCTTATTAAAGCATTATGTAAATGCTAGCCATTGTTATTTTACTTTATAAACTATTTGCCAGCAGTATTTTCCAAATTTTACGATTTCCTCATTATTTTTAATTTTCTTACTTAATGTTTTATTGGTACCCTTTATCTTTACTATATTCTTCTTTCTTTATTTTCTTTCTTTCTCTTTCTTTCTTTCTCTTTCTTTCTTTCTTTCTTTCTTTCTTTCTTTCTTTCTTTCTTTCTTTCTTTCTTTCTTTCTTTCTTTCTTTCTCCCTTCCTTCCTTCCTTCCTTCCTTCCTTCCTTCCTTCCTTCCTTCCTTCCTTCCTTTCTTAAGAAGAAGAAACATGAAGGCCAACACAAATAAATAATGAGGTTCCAGCTCCTCCCTGGTTCCAGGAGAAGATGAATAATGTTGGAGCCTCATAGGAAGAAAATTACAATTTGACTCATGGCCACAGGGTGGATGTAGATTATAGCTAATCTTTTTATGCATTAATTTCCCAGACTAGGAAGTTGAGCAGGGCAGTTCCTGTTTATAAAGTAGGTAAATTACTATAAAGCTGCAACTATTCAGGAGCATACCTGGGCAGCTCCAAATATTCCATTGTGTTTCTTTGGAGCCTTGGGTGGAGGCAGCATTACAACACCCCCTGCACTTGAACTATGTATATTAAGAGATAGTGTACTGAAATTTATGAGTCAGGGTTGGATGAACCCATGGAGATAGGCCCTTATCCTAAAGGCCTCAGGCAACTTTCCTTGAAAACAAAGGACCTTCAATTGTGAAACCAGGGACTTTTCTGCCTATAGATGGCTGGTCTGACCACTCCTAAGATGATCTCTTCAGATACTCCCCTACCTTCTTCCTTATCTCACCCTTGCTCCCCAACCAGTCTCTTTCCCACCTCCATAGTAAAGTAGAAAGAAGGCAAATACCTATCCTTGGTATCAAAGATCCTCTTAAGCAGCAGAACTATTTTATAAGTAAAGCATACTAGCTTTGGCATCAGAGGACCTGTGATCAAATCTCATCCCTGCTTCTTTCTACCTATATGACCTCAGGCAGTTCACAACTTCTCTGGACTTCAGTTTCCTTACCTATAAAATGAAGAGGATGGTGTTGATGATAGCTCTCAATCTGTGGTACTATGATTCATCTATTCAGTTACTAAGTAGGAAAGATCTCTCTACTCTACACCCCACCCTCTCTGATCCTGCAAGTGAGGACAGCCTTTTAAAAACCTCTATACATTCAACAAGGCCAATCAACAAGTATCATTAAGTACCTAGAATGTGCCAGGCACAGAGCTAGCTGCTGAGGGTATAAATACAATGAATGAAACAACCCTTCCTCACAAGAAGATTACCTTCTAGCTAGAAAAGACAACAAGATCTCTAACTGTTCCTACTTATAACACAAAAAAAGTTTTGGGTTCAGTGGAATAGAAGGCCAGAGGATACAGTAAGAAAGAGATGGAGAGTAGAACCCTTAAGGAGAGCATAAAAAAATCCCAATCTGACTTCCTTCTATACAGCTTTCCCCTGGGTCCTGTCCTACCACCAGACTGCCTCTTCAGAGAAACTGGGCTACTCCCTGGTACAGTGCAAAATTCAGGTCACCTAAAGGACAGTGGGTTAGTTGTATTTCTATATGACTTCTTTAGGATCAACGTTCCAGCACCTTTGGAGGGGGCCACTTTCACTCCAGGAATTTATTGGATCAGAGGGTTGAAAGATGAAGGGGCATTAGAGACCATCTCTAGTGCAGAGATTCTTAACCTGAGGTCCACAGATCCACCAAGGAGAGATTTCAGGTTTCCATGAACTTGGATTGGGAAAATTACATCTTTATTTCAATGTTAACCTTACAGTGCCCCAAAAATCTTAGTGTAGTTTTAAGCAACTCTGAAGCTTAAAATAGGGTATACAGGGTGTCCCAGAAGTCTTAGTGAAATTTTAATGGCCTGTATTTTATTTTTTTAACACCTTATACTTTATTTTATATATTTAAAAACATTCTGAAAAGAGGTCTCACCAGACTACCAAGAGATACCATGCCCCAAAACTGAGCTAGTCTAGTCCCTCCATTTTATAAAAATTCCTATTTTTAATGATGTGCCATGTAAAGAAGATTAAGAAAAATATTTTTAAAAAACAGTTCAACAAAACAAAACCATCTGGCAGAAGAAAGGGCTCTGGCTCCAGAGTCAGAGGCTCTGGGCTTCATATCCTGCTCCTTATGTCATTTAACTTCTCTGGGCCTCAGTTTTCTCATCTGAAAAAATGAAGGAGTTGGACTGGATAACCTCCAGTGAATGAAAAGGTCACTTATTAAGCACACCCCATGTGCCAAGAATTGTCCTCTGCACTAAGGATACTAATAGAAAGAAGAAAGAAAAAAACCCCCAAGATTGTTCCCTCTCTCAAAGACTCAGATACTTTAACGGGGACAATGAATATAAAAGATTTCAGCTACAGGTGGATGGAAAAGCTCAGAAGTGAGAAGGGAATAGTGGCTGGCCAGATGCCAATGACCAGGGGGTCAGTAAGGCACACCAGAGTGTCAGATGACAACAATCTATCTAGTTCCATAGATTTAGAGATTATGATCAATTGAGTCACACAGTATATGTGAGATTCTACACCCCTAGTCCCCCACCTCTGCAAAGAAAGACAGAATATGTGTGTTTCTTAATTCTTCCTTCAAACAGCCCTTTCACTTTAAAGAGGCCGAGGAAGCCTGGGTCTTTAAGAGCTCCAGTGAACTGTCCAAGGTTATGAACGTAGTTAAGTGATGCCTTCCAAACTGAGATTCACACTTGGGTGTTTTCATGAACACGCTTCTCACCTGTTGATTTTATATGCTTAATTGGACCTAGGTCTCTCCAATCAAAGGGATGGATCTGCACCAAACAACCGCAGAGACAGAAAATCACAGGCAGTTTGTATGGTGTCATCTTGGAGCCTCAGCAGCCGCTTCAGCTTAACCTTTGTCAAAAATAATAATGAAATTAAAAAATACATATATATGCATATACACAAAAGAACATTTAAGTAGATAAAAAAGATACTAATGACTTAGTTTTACACATGAAAGGTAATAGAGACTTCAGATTTTAAATTATTCAAAAAAGTGGAAATATTTGGATTTTCTTTTAGCAAATTAAATAAATTTAAGACTAAAATAAGGTGGAAACTTTAATGCTCTATGTGGGATCAGGAATACCATTTGTCTTTTCAGACAACTAAGTTTTATCCGGAATTTTGTGTCTGTCTATAATTTGTGGAATATTCAAATTGGGGTACCATGAACCATATCGTAATTTGGCTCTATTATAATGTATATGCATTGCTTTTGTTTTTAATCTGGGGTCAATTTCTACCCTAAAAGGTGTCCCCACCCCCACCCTGAGATCCATGCAGTGGTGTGCTGGTAAATGTTTAACAATTGCTTCTCTGTGGGAAAAATGTACATACTAACACACTTTTAATTTTAATAAGCATTAATAACACTTTCTCCATCACTGTTTTCAATTTAGACAATCTTGTGTTGTCAAATGGTCATGTCCAACTTTTCATGACTCCATTAGGAGTTTTTATGACAAAGATACTGGACCAGTTTGCCATTTCCTTCTCCAGATCATTTTACAAATGAGGAGCTAAGGCGATTTGGGTTAAATGATTTGCCCATGGTTACACAGATTTGAACTCAAGCCCTCCTGATTTGCAGGGCCAGCACTCTATACAATGTGTCACCTAGCTGTCTCTCTACCAGGGGTGAGGAACCTGTGGCTTTGAGGCCACATGTGGCCTTCTAGGTCCTTGAGTGCGGCTTTTTGACTAAGTCCAAGTTTTACAGAATAAATCCTTTTATTGAGGGGATTTGTTCTGTGATGTTTGGATTCAGTCAAAGGGCCACACCTAGATGGCTACATGTGACTTGGAGGCTGCATGTTCCCTGCCCCTGCTCTAGACAATCTACCAAACAATAAATTAAACCCTGACTTGAAGCATTTGCTAGGTTACCAAGCTGGCTCCATCAAAATGGCACTGGGAAGTGGGAAGGCGGAGGAGAAATGGTAAACACTAGCTGATCCTGATGCTCAGAATCAGTATCATAAGAACACATTAAATGACCACATTTCTGTCTTCCAATGAACTGAAACTACTACAAATGGAGATCTAAAGCTATATTCCTTGTCATGCTGTTGGTTCCACCACTGAGAACATTTCAAAGAATAATACTCTGTCTCAAAATAAATCAACCTATTGATCCAAGGAAGAAACTTCCTCTGACTTTCTTATGACTTCCGTGGTGATTTTTATAGTTCTATCATTTTAAAAAAGCCTCATTGATGGATTTTGTTTTTTAACAGTGGAGTCATTTCCCCATGTAACCCACATCCCCTACCTAAGTCCCAACCCTTTGAACAAAGAACATTTTTGGAAAACTAACCAATCCACCACATATGTTATTATAGTCAACATTGGGAATGGAGGTACATTTCATTCTCTGCACTTTTAAACCAAAATTGATCATTGCATCATCTGTGCCTAGAGGCAGTAAGACCTGAGTTGAAATCTGGCCTCAGACACTTACTAGTTGTATGAGTCTGGGCAAATCACTTTATTTGTGTCTGCCTCCATTTCCTCAATTGTAAAAGGGAACAGTAATAGCATTAACCTCCCAGGGTTGTTGTGAGAATCAAATGAGATAGTATTTGTAAATTGCTTAGCACAGTGCCTTGTATATAGTAGGCATTTAGTAAATGCTTGTTCCTTTCCCTTTACTATTATGTGTAATTTTGGCTAAGCCACTTGGTTCCTCTAGGCTTTATTATTTTTTCTTCTTCTTCTCCTTCTCCTCCTCCTCCTCCTCCTTCTCCTCCTCCTCCTTCTCCTTCTTCTTCTTCTTCTTGCATTTGGTGTTAAGTGACTTGCCCAGAGTCACACAGCTAGTGAGTGTTATGTATCTGAGGCTGGATTTGAACTCAGGTGCTCCTGACTCCACAGACAGTGCTCTATCCACTGTGCCACCTAGCAGCCCCCAGTTTCTTCTTGATAATTGATATTTTCCAATATAGATATTATGAGTATTCAGTATGGTCCCATCTATTAAAAATTGTTCTTATTGTTCTTAAATTTGAGTATTTAGGAATTAAAACTGAATTTTATATTTAAAACCCATGTCATTATGCTTTCATTAGCAATACAGATGTCAGCCTTTGCAGGTTTTCTTGTATATAAATTTTGTCTATATTTCTCATAAAGCCACTTAGAAAATTTACCCAATGATTGTACTAGAGGCCTTCCTTTTGGTTTTATCTTGAGGGTATAGGCTATCTATATATTTTCAGTCTTAATACATGACCACCCCATCTTTTCTTCTTCAGTGATATCTTTTGTAATACTAATAATGATAATAGCTTTATAGGACTTTATAAAGTACTTTACATATATCCTCATCATTTATATTTCCCAAGTAAAAGTCATCATTAGCTGGTTACTATGCATCTTGTTCCTTTGGTTATTTGTAATTTTGAGTCTTTTGAGAACATGGTTGTTCCATGAGTCACAGTCTTATGGCAACCCTGAAAGGTGTTTTAGTATTAAATTAAAATTAAAAGGCAGACTTTTATAGCAGGAAGCAATTTAAGGACACTGAAAGCACTACTATGCAAATGTGATTCAGCTTGATTGTTTTATAAATGTATTTTATAATTCAATAGAATATCCATATAGCTGCATCATACTTTGGGCAATATAGCTTCTATCCACTTGATTTTTTCTGTTGTGGATAGTCAGACCAAAGAGATGTAGTATACTTGACTGATTCTGTGAATTCTAGGAACATTCATATCATTCCACATAGGCAATGGCCTTATGTTAGGATTTAGACACTAAAAAGGCTTTCACCTTTTTACCATTGTGCATTTACATCCCTGAGGAAGCACTTGATAGAGTCATTAGTACAAGGACATACATAAATTTGGAACATTTGGAGAATCTTGTTATCAGTAAGGATTTTAGGATCATGGATGTAGAACTGGGAAAGATCTTAGAAGTTCTTTTAGTTCAACTCCTTCATTTTACATCTACTTTTCAGGGTCATGTTGCTAATAAGTATCTCAGGTGTTATCAAAACCCAGTCTTCCTGATGCTAAGTCCAGTGCTTAATCTACTGCATGATGCTAAGTCCTTCTGTTTGGACTCCATGTCTGACATCTTCCAAGACATAGGTGAATAAGATAGGTGAGTGTGCCTTCCCATTTTATGTTGCAATTGATAGCAAAACGTGGCAGATTAATGAACAAAATTATTTCCATGGCTACATATATCATAGATTCTTTTTATGATTTTAATGTACACGTGCAAAATACCTTTTTGGAGTAGGTAGGAGGATATCTTTTTCAGGAGTGTAAGGCTGCATTTTGATTTATCAAATAAACTTTAAAAAAAATCAATATGTAATAGACCAAAACAGATTTTCTATTTTCTTTACCTCTGAGTTGACTGTGTAACTGTTAAAGACACAGTATAATTATGTTCTCTTGTTTTCATCAAGGACATCCTCAACGCATAAGCACTTAGCACAGTATTTGGCACAAAGTAGACATTTAATAAAGGCTTTTTGATTAGAAAAAATGATTACAAATTATTATAAAATTTAAAATCATCAAACCAACTAAACATATATAATAAGGAATAAATTTTTATAATAAAATAATAAAGAATGAAAATTAACATACAGAATAAGGAACAAATCCATGAAATTTGACAGACTAAAAACCCAATTAATAGACAGCAATTAAAGAAAACATTGTTTATTGGCCACATAAGTTATTTCCAAAGTTTGCTAGATTTCCAATGACGTCTCCTCCTGGCACCAAAGGGTACAACCAACCTTAATTAATCTTTCAGGATACTAAGGTAACCAACAGCAGTGACATACATCTGAACCAGAAGAGGAATAATTGCTACAATCACCCATAAATAATTTTTCTTGGGGCAGGTAGGTGGCACAGTAGATAGAGCACCGGCCCTGAAGTCAGGAGTACCTGAGTTCAAATCTGGCCTCAGACCAAACACTTGACACTAGCAAGTCACTTAACCCCAATTACCTAAAATAAAAATGGAGGATAAATAATTTTTCTTTACATCCAGTATTCTCTGGGGATATGTCAAAACTAGGCACCTGAAATGATCCCAGAGACAAAGATCACAAAAGTCAATACTGGAATGCAGAGACTATTGATGCCTTTTCTTGGGACCTTTACAATTAAGGAACTTGCCAGAGCTTGAATGTAGCTAATATTACCAGCATCACCTTTATATGACAATGAGGTATTTGAGGAGGGTTTTTATTTGTTCAACTTCTTCATCTATGTGAAATGTGGGCATTGATCATCTTTTAATATTCCTTCTACCTCTAAAATGATCTCATCTTTCAAAATGGTGATGGGAGGATTAAACTTGTTGCATTATTTTTTTTTTTGAGGCAATCAGGGTTAAGTGACTTGTCCAGGGTCCTATAGCTAGCTAGTAAATGTCTGAGGCCAGGTTTGAACTCAGGTTTTCCAGACTCCAGGACTGGTGCTCTAACCATGCGCAACCTAGCTGCCCTTGTATTATTTTTAATAATAGAATTTAACTTTCCATGTTTTATTCAAGAATCTCGGTGCTTCAAGGACTAGTCTCTTATCATAACGATGATGATAATAATAATATCATTTATATGATTCTTTAAGGTTTGCCAAGTGCTTTATAAATTTTATCTTGTTTGATCTTCACAACAACCCTGAGACATAGATGCTATTATTGTCCCCGTTTTATAAATGAGGAAACTGAGGCAGACAGCAATCAAGTGACTTTTCTGGGGTTACACATCTGCTAAGTGTCCTAGACTGAACTGAGGCCCTCCTGACTTCAGGTCTAACACTCTATCCACTATACTGCCTAGCTTACATAAGTACAATTAAATCTTGATTAACTAGATCCCTCGACTTAACCAGATTTCTTTGTCCTCACACTTCACTTTTAGTTTAGTTGTTCAGTCATGTCTAATTCTTCAAGACTCCCATGGACCATAGCATGCCAGCCCTTCTGTCCTCCACTATCTCTTGAAGACTTCCAATACATTAATTATCTATCCCATCCTCTGCCATCCCCTTTTCCTTCTGCCTTCTATCTTTACCAAATCAAGGTCTTTTCCAATGAGTCCCATCTTCTCATTATGTGGCCAAAGTATTTACCCTTAAATTTCAATACTTGATCTTCCAGTGAATAGCCTGAATTAATTTTTTTAAGATATGGACTGATTTGATCTCCTTCTATCAAAAGTATTCGTCAACATGACAGTTTGAAAGCATAAATTCTTCAGTGCTCACATTTAGGAGAAAAAGATAAAACAAACACACACACACACACACACACACACACACACAAAACCAGGGATTTAATTTAAAATATTAAAGGGAACATCCTGACCACTGTAGCAATTCAACCCAATATCCTACATCTCTACTTACAGTCCTATACAATGAGAACTGAAGAATGACTTTCACTCTTTAAATATTTAATCATGTTCACTTGGAGTAACTTAGTAGGACAGGAAAGTGAATTCATGAATTTTGGAAACATTTTCAGCGAACAGGCATGAAGCAAAAAAAAGGTGTTGTTTGTTAATACTCAATTAAATCAATTAGCTACATTTCCTACTTCCTGAGCATTTCACTTAAAAAGAAGTTGTAGTGGAGAAAGGAACAGCTCTGCTTTATAGATGAACTATGAAACTTTGTCACTTAAAAGAAGCTGTATTAAAAGGAGGGAGGGAAAAGAACACAGGAAGCAAAGAATGCACATAGAATGAAATTAAAGAAATCAAGTTTCTGGAAAATTTTCACACCAAGTTGAATAGTTCACCAACAATACCATGCCCTGTTCTCTATGAACTGCATCTACCCAAGCTAAATAACTGCAAACAATTTCAAAACTCAAAAGCTATTCACAGAATCTGGTCCTGGACCAACAGAATTGACAAAGCAGAGCACTGTTCTTTAAAAGAAAAAAAAAGTGTTTTTTTTTTTACTTGCCCTCTATTCCATCCTATAAAATACACTGCAATTGCATACGGAAGTCAAATCAGCAAGCATATCCTAAAGCACCACATATTGTGCCAGTACAGTGTGCCAGGACTGGAGTCAGAAGGACTCACCTTCCTGAGCTCAAATCTGGCTTCAGACACTTACTAGCTGTGTGACCCTGGCCAAGTCACTTAACTCTGTTTGCCTGGGTTTCCTCATCTATAAAATAAGCTGGAGAAGGAAATGGCAAACCACTCCAGTATCTTTGCCAAGAAAGATCCAAATGGAGTCATGAAAGAGTCTGACGTGCCTGACATGACTGAACAACTACATGCACTGTACTAATCCCCGGGAATACAAAAATGGTTAGGAAGCAGTCCCATCCCTTCAGTAGCTCACAGTCTAATGGTGAAGACAACAAGCAAACAACTACGTATAATCAAGATACAGGCAGGATGAATTGGAGAGTATGTCAGAGGGAAGGCACTAGAATTAAGGGGAAAACAAAATACTGCCTATGAATGTGGAGGAATAGGAACTAACTTGCTGGAATTACTTGGATATGAATGGGTAAGAGTCTCTCACAGTGGACTGACTGGCTACGGCTAATCTACTTCAAGAATAGAGTCCCTCTTCTCAGTGATCTCTCCCTGGTTGGCTACTTACAGACACTGGTGTAATGAACTGTTAGGAAGTCTTACCCCTGCTGTTGTAGCTTAGGACTGGGTAAGAAAAGTATCATAGAGCCTCCTCAAGGGCCTTTGGGCATGGATAAGAAAAGGATGTAGGACAACATTAAAGAGAAAAGACCAATAAAAAACATATAACAAGACCAAAAGATAATTTTGAGAAAAACAAGTCAAAGACAGAGAACATTCTATTTTTCATAGTTCCTTAGCAATCTTTAGTTTACCCCATATGATATTATAGCTATGCTGTGAATAGCCACCCTCCTGAACTTCTGTTGGTTTGTAGAACTCCTTGGTTTTGAAATTTCCTCTACAGTCACTATCAGCAACTCTTGCACAACCAGAATGTTGCTTGGGAGCAACTCTTGAGAAGTTAAGCAACTTGCTTGTGGTCACATAGTTCTCATGCAGCCTCTTGACCTCTGGTGTGAAGAAGCTAAATAATGGGGCCCAGAACACAGGGTCCTGGCCATTCCCAAGGATGACAAAGCAGTTGTGAGAAAAGGCTCACCCAGCACTACCCTGGGGTTCTTCTGACTTAGGGTAGTATGGCCACAGTTACTGTCACCATGGTCACCATTCCCCCTCAACTTGTGGCATTGCTGGAGACGGAATAATTAGATGGGTAATAGCATATAGAAGGAACTATAATACCAGCAATTTTAATAATTACTAATAGTGTATATGTGTGTACATAAAATTTGTGTGTATGAGTATCCAATATATCCATTGGATGTATACCTATACACACATACATACATGTATACACATATATACACCCTATTAGTATATTATACACACACATATATATATATACATATATAATATACTCTAGTTAGTATTAGTATACTAGTATACTAATTAGTATACTATACATATATGTATACATGTGTGTATCCTATTACCAGGACCACAGAGTGAATTCATGTATTTTGGAAATATTTTTCAGAAAACAGGCATGAAGCAAAAAGGATTGGTTTTTTTTTAATACCCACTTAACTCAATTAACTATAATATCCCATTTCCCAAGAATATATATATTTGTGTGTGTGTGTGTGTGTGTATATATATATATGTATATATATATATACACACACACATATACACACATATATGCACACATATACATATACACACATACATACATTGTGCTTTAAGTTTTTATACATTTTATCTCATTTAATCCTCACAAAAACCCTGTGAGAAGTGCTATTATTATTATTATTCCCTTTTTACAGATAAGGAAACTGAGGCCAAAAGAAGTTAAGTGATTTGCCCAGGGTCATACAACTACTCAGTTTCTGAGAAAGGATTTGAACTCATGTCTTCCTGACTCCACTTTGGGCACTCTACAGACAGTGCTATCTACCTCAAAGAGACTCTTTATGCTTTTTTGCATATGATATCTTACTTCATTATTACATCTATCTTGTATGACCAATTAAGAAAATTTTATTATGATCTCCATCCTCCCCACCTC